CCCCAAGGGGCACTCCAATGTAGCCCCAATAAGCAACAATCTTCGATTTCCGATGGAGAAACTGATATGTTTGGCGTTTTTGCCTTTTGGGCTTCCACTGCGTCCAAGACGGCCCAAGAGGCCCCCAAGCCTGCCCCACAGAGGGCTCCAAGACGACCCCAAGAGGGTCCCAAGACGGCCCGAATGGCCCCCAAGACAGCCCAGGAGAGCCCCAGGACGAGCCCCAGAGGGGTCCCAGAGGTGCACAACCATATTCAAATTCCGAGCTTTCGGCCCCAGAGGCTCCCAGGAGGCCCTAAGAGGTCCCCAGGAGGCCCCAAGAGGCCCACCAGAGGCCCCAAGAGGCCCCCAAGAGACCCCTAGGAGGCTCCCAAGAGGCACCCCAATAGAGCCCCAAATAAACAAACATCGTCGATTTCCTATAGGGAAACTGATATGTTTGGCGTGTTCGCCTTTTGGGCTTCCACTGCGTCCAAGACGGCCCAGGAGGCACCCAAGACGGTCGAGGATGCCCCCAAGAGGGCTCCAAGACGGCCCACGAGGGGGCCAAGACGGCCCACGAGACGCCTAAACCGCCCAAGAGCGCCCCAAATCGGCGCCCAAGACGGGGACGAGGAACCGAAAAGGCGAGCCATTTGACCCAAGAGGCCCCCAGGAGACCCCAAGAGGCTCCAAGAAGCGCCCAAGAAGCCCCAAGAGGCCCCCTAAGAGAATTGCAAAAACACAAGAAGAGGCCCCGAACACGCCCCAAGGGGCACCCTCATTGAGCCCCAATAAGCAATAATCGATGATTTCCGTTTGGAATACTGATATGTTTGGCGTTTTCGCCTTTTGGGCTTCCACTGCGTCCAAGACGGCTCAAGAGGCACCCAAGACGGTCGAGGATGCCTCCAAGAGGGCTCCAAGACGGCCCACGAGGGGGCCAAGACGGCCCCCGAGACGCCCCAGCCGCCGCAGAACGCCCCAAGTCGGCGCCCAAGACGGGGACGAGGAACCGAAAATGCGAGCCATTTGACCCAAGAGGCCCCCAGGAGACCCCAAGAGGCTCCAAGAAGCGCCCAAGAAGCCCCAAGGGGCCCCCAAGAGACTTGCAAAAACACAAGAAGAGGCCCCGAACACGCCCCAAGGGGCACCCTAATTAAATGAGCCCCAATGAGCAAAAATCTTAGATTTCCGAGGGCTTCCACTGTGTCCAAGGCGGCCCAAGAGGCACCCAAGCCGGTCGAGGATGCCTCCAAGAGGGCTCCAAGACGGCCCACGAGGAGGCCAAGATGGCCCCCGAGGCGCCCCAGCCGCCCAAGAGCGCCCCAAATCGGCGCCCAAGACGGGGACGAGGAACCGAAAATGCGAGCCATTTGACCCAAGAGGCCCCCAGGAGACCCCAAGAGGCTCCAAGAAGCGCCCAAGAAGCCCCAAGAGGCCCCCAAGAACTGAAGATTCGAGCGTTTCGGCCTGGGCGCCCAGAGCGCCCTGGGAGGCTCAAAATTGCCCCGGGGAGCTCTCAGAAACCCCGAAACGGTCTCGAGACACCCCCAAACAGACACCCCCAAAAGAAGTCTCGAGACGCCCCCAAAACAGTCTCGAGACGCCCAGCGGCCCCAGACGGTCTCGAGACGCCCCCAAAACTCCGTTCAGGGGTCTCTGGCGACGCACGATGTGTCTTCGCCCCGGAGGCCCCCAAGACGCCCCGAGAGGCCTTTAGGATGCCGCCCAAGAGCGGAGCGCCCCGAGAGGGCAAAATCGTTGATATTCATATATTTTTCCCAACCCTCCTATGGTTGGGTACTCGTTTTGAATAGAGCAGGGTGGTCGCTCCGGCCTCCTTCTCCTCCCCCCTCCTCCCCTCCTCCTCTCCTGTCTCCTGTGTTCCCCTCTCCTCTTCTCTCGTGCCGTCGGGCTGCGATCTGCGTAGCTGTCGCCACTTTCGTGGGCTCCTGGGAGGCCCAACGGAGGTGGGTCCCACGCGGACCACCTCGAGACCTCGCGGTGCCCTGGGGGCTGCGATCTGTGCAATTGTCGCCACTTTCGTGGGCTCCTGGGAGGCCCAGCGGAGGTGGGTCCCACGCGGACCACCTCGAGACCTCGCGGTGCCCTGGGGGCTGCGATCTGCGCAACTGTCGCCACTTTCATGGGCTCCTGGGAGGCCCAGCGGAGGTGGGTCCCACGCGGACCACCTCGAGACCTCGCGGTGCCCTGGGGGCTGCGATCTGCGCAATTGTCGCCACTTTCGTGGGCTCCTGGGAGGCCCAGCGGAGGTGGGTCCAACGCGGACCACCTCGAGACCTCGCGGTGCCCTGGGTCCCCTGGGGGCTGCGATCTGCGCAATTGTCGCCACTTTCGTGGGCTCCTGGGAGGCCCAGCGGAGGTGGGTCCCACGCGGACCACCTCGAGACCTCGCGGTGCCCTGGGGGCTGCGATCTGTGCAATTGTCGCCACTTTCGTGGGCTCCTGGGAGGCCCAGCGGAGGTGGGTCCCAAGTTGACGACCTCGAGACCTCGCGGTGCCCTGGGGGCTGCGATCTGCGCAACCGTCGCCACTTTCGTGGGCTCCTGGGAGGCCCAGCGGAGGTGGGTCCCACGCCCACGGGGTCCGCCGTCGTCTGGCGCGCCGCGGCCCGCCGTCTGAGAGTGAGTGAAGGATAAGCATCGATCTGCTCACGTGTGTTGCTCCCCGTGGCGAGTAGGCGCGCGTGGCTCGCTTTGCTTTGGGGCTCGGCTTCTCTCGGGGACTTTGGTCCCGTCTGGCCCAATCCGCGTTTTGTTCGTTTCCCCCTGCGCCTTGAAGGCCCCGTCTTTAACTTTAACTTTAACGCGCAGGAGCAGTGCACATTTTGTCTCACATGCTTGGTGGACGAAGCAACTCTTCTCAAGGAATGAGTTGGAATAAAGCCCTGAATATCGTCTTAGATTGTCTATTCTGCCGCCTTTTTTTTTTTTTTTTTTTTTTTTTTTTTTTTTTGTTGTTGTTTTTTTTTGTTTTTTTTTGTAACCTCCCCCCCGCCCCCGCTCCTGCGCTCCTGGGGCCTATTCTGCCGTGCTCCTTCGCTCTTGGGGCTATTCTGCCGTGCTCTTTGCCTTCTTCTGCCGTGGTCCTTTGCTCTTGGGTTCCGTATTCCTGGTCCTTCCCTGCCGTGCTCTGTAGCCCTTGGGGTTGATTCTGCCGAACATAGAGGCGCACGGCAGAACACGCAGGAGCACGGCAAAACAGACAGAGCACACAGGAACACGGCAGAACACACATGAGCACGACAGCACACGCAGGAGCGCCGGGGACATCCTCAACAAATGAGATGTTCGCAACATCGCCTCGGCATCGTTTTCGAAGTGCTTCAAGACGAAGAGATGAGAGCCCCCAAAGGAGCCCAAGATGGCTCCAACAGCGCCCTGGAGTCTGCCGAAAATCATGAGTTATCTAGTCTTTCTGCCATGTTCCTGGTCTTCTTCTGGTTTGCTCCTTCGCATTTGGGCCTATTCTGCCGTGCTTCTTAGCTCTTGGGGTCTATTCTACCGTGCTCCTGGTCTTTTTCTGCCGTGCTCCTTCGCTCTTGGGGCTTATTCTGGTCATTTCTGCCGTGCTCCTTGGCTCTTGGGGTGTATTCTGCTGTGCTCCTGGCCTTTCTCTGCCGTGCTCCTTCGCACTTGGGGCATATTCATCCCTGCTCTTTAGCTCCTGGGGTCTATTCTGCCGTGCTCCTTGTCTTTTTCTTCCGTGCTCCTTAGAGCTCTTGGGGCGAATTCTGCCGTGATCCTGGTCTTTTTCTGCCTGCTCCTTTGCTTTTGGGGTCTATTCTGCCGTACTCTTTTGCTCTTGGGGTCTATTCTGCCGTGTTCCTGGTCTTTTTCTGCCGTGCTCCTTCGCTTTTGGGGTCTATTCTGTCGTACTCCTTTGCTCTTGGGGTCAATTTTGCTGTGCTCCTGGTCTTTTTCTGCCGTGCCCCTTCGCTCTTCGGCCCTATTCTGCTGTGCTTCTGGTTTTTTTCTGCCGTGCGCGGCCAGAAGCTCCGCCAAACCGACCACCGCGACGATCCGCACGGCAGAATACAGGAGCACGGCAGAACACACAGAGCACACAGAGGCACGGCAGAACACAAGCACGGCAGAACAGGAGCACGGCAGAACACACAGGAACACAGCAAAACACACCGCACGCACGCCGACACGCGCGCCACGGCATACCTTCGCGGCGTAACAACAACAGAGCATATTCCACATGCTTGGTGGACTAAAGCGACGCTTCCCGTTCTTGTCGGGTCAGGTTTCTGAGAAATGGCCGTTTCGCTCGAGACATCCTCCAAACATCGGCCCAAGAGGGGACTCCGCATCGACGTCGTGTTCGAATCGCTCTTGGAGGGCTTTCCAACGGCCCAAAGGAGGCCCAAAAGACGCTGCCGAGAGCCCCAAGAGCGCCCCAAGAAGACCCCAAGAGACCCCCAAGAGCGCTCTAGGAGCCACCCAGACAGCTCACAAGAACCCCAAAACGGCCCGAGAAGGGCCAAGAAGGCCCCAAGAGGCTCACGGGAGCGCCCCAGGAGGCCCCCAGCGCCGAGACGGCCTAAGAACGCTCCCACAGAACCCCACGACGCGCCCAGACAGCCCAAGAAGACCCCAGAAGCCCATAAGAGGACCCAAGGGCCCCCCAAAAAACCCCCAACAGGCCCCAAGAGAACCCCGCGCGGCGCCAGGAGCAACGTCTTTTTCCAATTGCCTCGTACTGTCCTCTGTCCTCGTCGTCGTCGTCGTCGTCATCATCGCCCTCCGCATTCCTCGTACTCGCCCTCGTCCTCTTCGTCCTCGTCCTTGTGCTTCTCTTCCTCCTCGTTGTCCTCATGCTCCTCCTCGCTATCCTCACGTTCGCCACGCCGTCCTCGTCATCGACTCCTCGTTGTCCTCGCCTTCCTTTTCTTCTTCGCCCAAGACGCCCATTAGACTACAGCGGCGCTTCCCGTTCTTGTCCGATCAGGTTATTGGGGGGGGAATCTCGCACGCCTGGAGACCCCCTAGGGGTCGGCGGATTTCATGGATGCCCGACGCGGTGGAGCCTGGAACCCTTCGCAGCGGTTCCGCCATAGCGGTCGTGTTCATAACTCTCGGAGGCCAAGTGGTCGTGTACATTATTTCTTTCGCCACGTTGCATTGCGATGCTAATGTGCATGTAGACCTTTCCTCCGATTAGAGAGCCCACGATGGCCCCGAGATGCACCCCACACGGCCCAATACGGAGTCTGGATAGCTCCAGATAGCCTCCGAGGCGGCCAAGACGCCTCCAAGACATCCCTTGGGAAAGTCCGGAAGCTAGAATCATCGATGTCCCGTTGGCTTTTGAAGGATGTTTGCATTTGTTTCTTTTCGGCCTGCCGACGGTCCAAATGGCCTAAGAGGCTCCCAAGATCGCCCCCAGAGCGCCCAAGAGGCCTCCACGATAGCCCTGTGACGGCCCAAGAAGCCCCAAAGACGGCCCCAGGAGGGCCCCAAGACGGCCCAAGAGGACTCAAGACGCTTGGGAATGCCTCCAAGACAGCCCCGAAGCGCTCCAAGCGGGCTCGAAGACGGCGAAGACAGGCCTCAAAGACGACTTCCAGCAGCATCCGACGGGCCAGGAACGCTCTAAGACAGCCGAAGAGCCCGGGCCATTGCGGAAAGATGGTGCGGCGGGGCACGCGTGCACGGGTGCGCTAATCTCCTTTGGGGCACGATCCGTGTGAAGGGCCGCGCGAACACGCCCGCTGAGGGGTGGACCTCCTCTGGGCACGCCCCGTGCCAGGCATGTTCCGAAATGGGCGCGGGGATGCCATGCAAAGATGCCTGTTCTGGGGCATGATTCGCGTGACAGATGTGCCAACATGGGCAGGGGGGGCGTTGTACGAACCTTCCGGGCCTTTCGGTGGTGCTCCTTGTGGGCACGATCCACGTGATGGGGTGTGCCGTAATTGCGGGAGGGGGGGGGCGCAGTGCGAACCCTGCCTCTGGGGCCGTTGGTGGAGATCTCTGTGGACCATGATCGCGATCTGTGTGCGAGGTGTGCCGAAGTAGGCGGGATGGCGGGATGCGAGAGAGCGTGATCCACAGCCGCTTTACTGTGGAAGATTTCCCCCCCTCTTCCTCCATAACCGGGGGTTCCCCCCCCTCCGAAAATCCCCCCCCCTGCTGGAACCTCAGATGAGCCGTCGTGGCCGTTGTGGGCCGTCGCAAGAGAAGACGAGAACGCGTAAATTCGGCAACACCCCAACATACTTATACTATATGTGCGTCGCCCCCCCGGGGGCGACGCGCGCACCGAGAAATCTTATAGTACATGCGTCGTGGCGGGCGCTTTCTGGCCACACCGCTCGGGAAACGATATACTACAAGATGGGTATACTATATGTTCGGGTCGGACGCGCGCCTCCAAGGAGGACATATAGTATTAGTATGTCCATGTGCGTCCCATAAATCATTTGAACATCTACGGTCAATGCAATTATTGTTGGCCTCCTGAGGCTCTCTTGGGGGCATCTTGGAGCTCAGATGAGCCGTCTTGGGGCTTTCTTTCTCTTTCTCCTTCGGAGTTGGGGCATTGCAAGCCCTCCTGGAGCGATCTGGGGCGCTCTTGGTGTGATATGGAAGATTGTCGATGGATCTTTTTACTCGCGGCCTCGCGAGGGGCGTAGCTCTAAGGCCAAGAGCCCTAGCTTGAAATGAAACGGCAGCGGTGGGCAAGGGATGCAACGCAAAACCCTTCGGGAGTGAGCTTGAATCACACTCCTCCTAGTCGCCGTCTCGGTCGGTCGTGGCCTCTGACAGGCCTGAGCGGGGACTATAGCAAACAAGTCACTCGCCGGCAAAAAAACACGAAGATAAGCAAGCAAACGGCTTGCGTTGTATAACATAGCATACAAGGTATACTCAGCAATGGCCAGGGTTCGATCGCGATGCGACAAAACCCAAAAAGGAACACAGCCATCTTCTCAAGATACTAGGTGTGATCGTCATCACAACAAAAACTGTGCGCACTGAAACGAATGAAGCTTCCAAAAAACAACGCGGTGTTACGTGTGGATCTTTATCCGGGTGTAAAAGCTGCGATTCGGAATACATGAATTTTGACCGGGCGTATGGTTTTGGCAACGATGCGGAAGACATAAATCTTGACTGGGCGTATAGTATAGGCAGTAGAACATGTCCGGTCTGATCGGCCAAATTGCCGTCAAACCAAGCGGGGTTCACTTTTTCTTCGGCTTCGCCGGTTTGTCCGCTAGATCTGATCCCCGCCAAACATCTCTGCCTGTGAGCTTCCACCAGCGGCCCTTGAGGTCACACTCTCTGGGAAGATCGCGAAATCGGGATTTCGGAAATGATAATGCCGAAGCAGCCACCACGAAGCGTGCTTCTTGCAGGTCTTGCAAGTGATGTATACACTATGCGGGTTGTGGCCGATGACCACATCATGGTGAGGAATGCCAGTCACGCAACTGATCATGTCACTCGGCTGCACCGTCGGGGAAGATCCGCTCCACGACACAACACTGGCTGATGAGGCTGAAACGGAACTCGATGAACTCGTCACGGAAACCACGGTTGGTGATGCAGGGGCCGAGCTTCCCTGCTACTTTACTGATGTTGATCGTCCAGATCCCCGTGCTGATGCTGCAGTGTACGGTCATGGCGGTGCGCTGGCTGGTGGTGGTTCTGTCGGTACCTGTGGCGGCGGCGGCTGCTGAATCGCAGCCGATGCTACTGAACTTGATGCCTGTGCGCTGCTGAGTACGTCCGCGTGGGACAATGTGATGGCACCATCGTGGTCACGATCCTCTGGTATCGTGGGTGGTATGTTGCGGCGTCGGCCGAGCATGCGGCCGTCCCACCCAGGGTGCTCACCCATGGCCTTCGCTTCGGCGGCGCTCTCCTCATTGGCGATCGCGTTTTTCTGCCTCAGGATCGTCCAGAGCGTCATGAAGATGCCGAAACCGATAGTCATGTCGAGGACCAGCGTGAACGTCAACAGGCCAATATAGAAGCTGTAGTCCGGCATAGTCGGCGTGGGCGTAGGCTGCCCCTTGACCTTTCCAAGGCAGGTGAATAGGACTGATGCGAGCATAGCAGCGTGTGGCTGCCAGGTCCCCATAGGTACGTTTGCGAGCCCCGAAGATCGACAGCAGGACGCCAGCCTCCATCGTCTTCGTCAAGGCGTCAGCGACCATGGCCCAGGTCGGGATCCAGCTGAGCTTGAACGCACTGTTGGGGTGCGCGGGCTCCTTGACCATGGAGGCGACGATGCGGAACCGCATGTCAGTAGACTTGCCCACATCTGAAGCGATGTGCGTCACGAGACCCTTGCTGTTGCTGTAGATCTCCCCAGGGCGCTTGTCGGCGAGCACCACTGTGGGAGCCGATGTTTCGTCTAGCAGTCCTGGGGCAGGAGAGAGTCCAGGGGACGACAACGGATAGCCTGCCTTGCAGATGCATGGCATAGGCGGATAGATGTGGTGATAGGGAGCACAGAGGAAACATCGGGCCCGGAGTGTTCCAGAACAGCTGAGGGCGCGACTGCCGTGACGGTGCCGAGCAAGGTCAGCTGCAGCAGGATTTGTTGTCGCAGCGGCTCCGCCAACATCACTGTTGGGGCGGGGGCGTGATGGTGAGGCGAGTTTCCGAAGACGTCTCTTGAGCCAAATATGCGGCGAAGGCCTTTCCATGCACTTTCTCCTCCCTATTCCTCTCTGTTGCTTCGTATCTCTCTCCGCCTGCTCCTCTCCGCGTTTTTTTTTTTTTTTTTTTTTTTTTTTTTTTTTTTTTTTTTTTTTTTTTTTTTTTTTTTTTTTTTTTTTTTCCTCATCGTGTTCCGACCGTCATCTCTGGGGTGTCGTTTTTTCGGGATTGCATTTTGAAGACCCCTGGGAGGTTTTGTTAGGTATCCGCGTGGGGGTTCTATTGAGGGCGTCCTGGAGTTTCGGATTTTTGGAGGGGGCATTTTGGAGCGTCTCGGGAGGACTGGGGGCCGGCTGGGGCTCTTGAAGGCTTGTCGGAGCGGGGGACTGGAGATGTACCTTCGGGGTCATGGGTGTCCTTGATTGTTGTGGGGGGTCTTTGGGGATGTCTTGGAGGTTTCCTGGCTTCTTGGGCGTGGCTTCGGTGGACTTCGTGTCTTCGATGGGTTTCGACGGGACCCCCAGACTCCCGAAAGGTCGCATTGTGACGAGAGTCCGCATGTGCGAAAGAGTGCACAGCAGAACTGTCAATCTGAAACTTTCGTCGCTTTGCAAGTGGACGAGGTGGAGGACGAGGAGGAGGAGGCAGAGGAGGAGACAGACTAGGGAGCGGGACGGACGGCGAAAATGTCAGAAAACGTGCGTTCAATCGACCACGCGGTCGGGCTTAGTCCAGCCGCGGCGACGGAGCGCTCGAAGAGGAAACGGCAGAAAGCGGTCGTCGGGTAGCCACGCGATCCCCAAACGCACCCAACGTGCCATGGAGACGTGATTATCATCAAGATCGGTGTGGGGGGGGCTCCGCGGGTGCAGAGGCCCACGGTGGGGTCGCCGAAGCGCCGACGCGGCACGAATGTACCGCGCTCTGGGCTGTCTTGGAGGGTCCCTGGGCCTCTTGGAGCTGTCTGGGCCGTCCTGGGCCCGTCTTGGGCCATGTATGGGGCCCTGGCATCGCTCGGACGCGTGCATGTTTTCCTCGGCGAGGGCCATCGAGGAGCATCCTGGACCACTCGGAAAAACAGGCCACGCACGAGACCGACAAAAAACACAGGGAATGGACGTCTGAGCGATGGCGAGGGGCTGTCTTCGGCCGCTCGTGGCCGTTCTCGGGGCTGGCCGGGGCGCCTCGTGGGCCGCCGCGCGCGCCTCGGGGAGCGCCCCTCGAGCCGTCCAGGGGGCCGGCAAAGGGCCCTCCACGAAGGCGTCCTGGGGCGTCCCGGGGCAAGCTGGAGAACCCGTGTGTCGGGAGGGGAAGAAACACACTCACCACCCACCAAACCACCCCAACCCAACCCGAAGCCCTCAATTTGCCCTCCATTTCCAGTGGGGGGGGTTGGGAAACGTTGAAAAAACACATGGCATCCGTACCCCCCCCAACCCGAAATTCGGGTCAAATTCGGGTCTTCGGGTTGGGTTGGGGTGGTCTGGTAGGTAGTCACACACAGACACAATGAATCGTCGATTCCCCAGAAAATACGGGAAGTGGGGGGGAAGACGAAAACCCAGAACATGTGGGAACATGTGCGGAGTCCTGTCATTTGTGTGTATTTTTTTGTGTGTCCCCCAGGGCCCCTTCAGTATGGCTGTCTCG